GTATTAGACTCCTTTCAAGTTAAGGTATGCAAACTATTTAAAATATTTTAAATTAATTAAGCCCAGCAATGATACAGAATTATCTAAAGAAATTGGGAAACTTAAAGAAGAAAACTTTTCGTTTGTTACTAAGTGGAAAATTATCAAGTGCTGCCAAACATATATGCCTTCCTCCTCCCCCCCTCCCTCTCTTCTTTTTATTTAAAAAAGTCCAAATAAAAAATTATATGAATATTTTTTTTTTCAACTTAATACAAATTAGGATTACAACCTCTCATCCCATGCAATATCTCTTCCCCAATCTCATCTATTTACCACAGATGATTCCATGATTTTAACAAAAAAGAGGCAACAGAGCTATATATGTTTGTTTAAGTTTATCAGGTACTTCGATCTTTGATCTAAACATATGGGATGTAACACACATAAAATTAAGTATTTCTAGTTTTCCATATATTTAAATTTAAACTAGCCTTTATTATTTCAATTTCTCTAATTGAACATGCCTTAAATGAACAAACAACCAAGAAGTTTAGCTTTGAAACTCTGCAAATTTAAAAAATTTTCTTGTACCATGTTTATATATGATATTAAATTGTTCTGGTTTTTTGTGAGGTTTCTGGTGTTTCTGTAAGAACATTGATTGGCAATGGATTTGTTTTAGTCATATTTTATAGAAGTGTCATACCTATATATAACATGAAAGAGTTGGTAATGAAACAGTAATGCTGTCAATTTTTTCAGTTTTATGAACTTGATAATAAAATCAATCTAAAACTTTTTATTTTATATTTTGCACATAAATTTTGCAAATCAATGTGATATCCTTTACATTTGAGATAATTGATCATTTAAAATCATGCAACATAGAGCATACATCATCAGACCATCTGTTTCTTACAGTTTTATCATAGCAATCATAGCCAAATATAATCTTGCATCATAGCATCATAGCAAAATATAATTCTTGAGTTGAAATAGCAGTATCAGAATCAGAATAAATATATTAAATAAAGTAAGTTTACAATAGCATCTTACCTTTGTAATGTTATGAAGAAATTTGATAAAATACAAGACCCAACCATTACAACAGCCAAAATAGGGTGTTGTTTATCCATTAAAAAAGATTTCTAAAACAATATGTGTATGTATATATATATATATATGTATATATATATATATATATATATATATATATATATATATATATATATATATATATATTTATATATATATATATATATATATATATATATATATATATTTATCTTATACTGCTGAGTTAGGTGAGCATGATGATGTCATATTCACCTAATGTCAAATAGCCTGTTGCCGGGGGCTTCAGTACATATCTCGACTGACAAATAGCCTGACTCGCCGTGGAGTGCTGCTACATCGACTGAGGGTTTGGTATGGGTCAGCAACCTTTTCATTTATTATTCTTTGTTTTCCCTCATCGTTTTCTAAAAACGCTCACTTAAATTAGGCTAGCAAAAAAAGTGAGCAATTGCGCATATAAATATGCTATAGTAGATAAATATATATATAATTATATATATGCTGTCTTCATTTTTAGAAAAAATGAAGACAGCATATATATAATTATATATATATATATATATATATATATATATATATATATATATATATATATATATATATATATATATATATATATATATATATATATATATATATATATATATATATATATATATATATATATATATATATATAATTATATATATGCTGTCTTCATTTTTAGAAAAAATGAAGACAGCATATATATAATTATATATATATATATATATATATATATATATATATATATATATATATATAATTATATATATATAATTATATATATATATACATATATATATATATATATATATATATATATATATATATATATATATATATATATATATATATATATATATATAGAGAGAGAGAGAGAGAGAGAGAGAGAATACTTATTAGTCAGCAGTTTAAAAAAATTAGAATTATTTAACATAGCCTATGTATTGTGTCCCAAATTTAATTCTAGTCATTTTCAAATGTTATAAATGATGCTTAAATTTAAAATTAAAATACCATTAATTGTTAAAATACAAAAAATACCATTAATTTTGCCTTTTTATTATCTAATCCAAAACTTTCAACGATCATATTTGCAAATTCATCACTAAGACTTGTCATTCTCATTGCTACTGCTCGGTAAGAAAGTGACTCTAACAAATGCCATAGTTCAGGAAATACGCTTTTTGATGGATACCTTTTTCCACAAAAAATACCTGACATAATAGGTCTAGTAAGTATGATCACTGTAAATTGATCTGTTTTTGTTGAAGGTAAAGATAAAAATGACTGGGTGTATGCCGGCTCACATTTCATGAAAAATTCTAAGAAAAAATTAATTGACATTGAAAAACACTAAGCACTTTTATAACATTTTATATTAAAAAGATAAAAAGACAAATTCAAAACTTTATTAGAAATTCCTTATACATAAATACTGTGTGACCAAACTGTAACCCTCTGTCCATGGGTGCACTGAAGCTTTTGCCAATCCGTCATAGAATGATGTCATACTAAGAAAACCTCTTTAATTAATTAAAACAAATCACACCAAAGTGTAGATCATTTACCATTGTTAGTCTTTGAGCATTCAGGATCCCAGTCTATTTCCCGAGATTGTCGGCCATAAAAGATAGTTTCTCCCTCAAAATGCAACTAAAAGTATGAACATTTAAATTTTGATAACTAATTAAATATATAATTGATCATTAACTCACAGAATGCAATACTTTGAACTTTTACTGTTAATTTACAAGCATGTTGTGCAATGCTCAGAACTGAATTCTTAAAAAAGTTTTAACATATAGATATTCTTTTTGAACAGATATGCTTTTATATTATATCATAGGTGGTCCTGAAAATATTATACGATAGGTGGTCCTTAAAATATTATATCATAGATGGTCCTTAAAATTCTACCACAGACCTTATAATTGCTTTGTAACCATTTAAATTGTATAGGAATCTCATACAGTATGTTGCCACCTAATTGATAACCAATTAAAAATTATTAAAAAAAAAAAATTTTTTTGTAATCTTGTAGTTTCACTTTCATGTAGTTCATAATTAGTTCATAATTAGTCATAAATATTCATAATAACTCATAATTTATTCAAAAGATCTGTTAGAAATAATTTTATATTTCACATTAATATATAGTAGATATAGTCTCATAGAGTATGTTTTGAAATGGCGGTAGTGGTGTAGCAGTAGAGCGCTCGCCTCATAAGCAAGAAGTTTTAAATTTAATCCCCACCCCACATCCCTAGTAGTATTGTGCTCAACATGTTTCTCATGTACAGGGGCCTTGTTTGTCAAGGTTTGTGTTTTGGATTTATAAAGTTGAGAGAGGTTTGTAACCACAACTAAAAGTAGCCTTCCTGATTGTAGTGTCCTTCATTAACTTGGAAAAGTGAAATAAAATTAAAAAAAAAAAATTTCTTAAAAACTCACTTTATGGACATAAGAAAAATAGTTGGAATAAAAAATCCCTCCAGAGTTCAAATTCTGCTTAAAGTTATTTTCAATAAAACATATCAAATCCTCTTCAGTTTCTGTAACTAAAAAAAAATTTGAAAATATTTTAAAATAATTACATTATAACAATATTGTTAGACAAATTATTATTAAATAATGGCACAAAGTAAAAAAGTTAAAAACTAGATGTCAAAATAAGCCCATACCACTCCACACCAAGCTTTGGTACGAACTCCTTAGTTCAAGTAAAAGTTTGCTTAATAAAAAAATAGCATTAGATCGCTTAAAAACTAAACGCATCCAGAAATCTCCGTGATCAAACTAAATAAGAACTTTACAAAATAGCATAAAAAAAATATTTTATTTCAAATGTTTATGTATAAAAGTATGAAATAATAAAAAAATAAAGATGATTAGTTCAAACAGTATTTTACAACATTAAAAAAATAATAACATTAAAGTATACCACAGGAAATTTTAATGCGCATATTTGAAAACCCATATTCACAATTCTTGTAAGGGATTTAGAGATGGCTAAAATATGTTCAGTATTATACAACACAGAAAAACCAACATAGGATTGTTCATTTTGTAAAACTAATTGGACAAGTAAGGGAGCTTTATTAAACTCTACTTTATATACTTTGTCACAATTAGGTAGAAAATCATACAATTTGTTAAATTCTAGTTTAGAAACATACTCTAAAGAAACAAAACTATATTCAGCGTTAGGATTAAACATTTTTGACAAACTAAATAAATTCTCATCTTTTGGTATATAATAATTATACGATTGGTTGGCTAAACTATCACCATAAATTTCATGGTCATTAAAATATTTATACATTATTTGAGTCACATATTCTGCATCAGAATGTAGAATAATATCAGAATGGTTTTTATCTGACTTTAATTCAATCATAAAATCTTCTAGTTTTGCCATTAACCGCGTAACTTCACGCTTGTCAACAGCTCTAAATATCACAAGATTAGCTTCTTTTCCTATCATTTTTGTTGTTTCTGTTTTCCATTTAGTGCTAAATGGTTCGTAAATGATAAAGTCATTGACTTGGATTGCTGAAAGTTTGGAAATATATTTTAGTCCAAGCCATTCTAAAGTAGGAGCATATAAAACTTTCATTGAGGAACATTGAGAAGCTTGGCGCCATGCGTTTATGCAATCAAAAAATAAATCTCCGAAAACAATTCTGAAAAAAACAGACATTTGTCTAACAAGGCTTGTACCGTAAACTAATAAAGCAATTAGACTGACTTCTGGAGTATATAGATTCAACCTAGCTTTGAACAAAATATCTCCAAAGTCAACAAGTGAAGATGGATTAGGTAGCAGTTCTGATGTTTTCAATAAAGCATCGGTATGTTCATTAAAATATAAAGGCACAATCATATCATTAGTTGAATGGGAAAGTAAATAAGATTCGCATCTTTTACGTAATTCATTATATTTAAAAAACTTGTCAGTGCACAGCAGTTGCAGACTATCTCCGGTTGTGGGTTTCATTAATATATTGCATAACTTCTTAACAATTCCAAGTAAACGGTATGAGCAGCTCCTTCCATAAAAAACTAATAAAGTATGCTTCTCATTAACGCTTGAGTAAGTTTTGTTGTTTAGATCAGGAATTATTTTCCATGCATGCTGCTCTTTTAGTGAAATACAAAGTTTACACATTGATTTAAGTTGCAGTCCCCTCCTCTCAGAGAAACTAATAATAAATGCTAAAAATGAAGTGGGAACACTAGACGAAACAAGCAAACAAGAAAAACTAAAGCAGGTTGCTAAAAGAGAAAGACTTGATGTTTCTAAACTCCATTTTTTATCTTTAATTTGAGAAGAAACCATTTTATATTCATTAATGGCTATAAAAGCTTCATCATGATCTTTATAATGTGGTCCAAACCATTGAACAACCAGTTGAAAAGCCATCTTACTGCCAACAGGAAAATTAATTATAGGGTCTTCATTATTATTAAACAGGAAATGATCTGCGTGAAAATTGAAATTAATTTTTTTAAGTTCTTCACAATTAGCTAAAATCATTCGTCCCTTTTGCAATGTAGTTGAACTGACTTCATTTATACAAATTGAAAGCATGAGATGCGATTTCATATCTGTAATGAAAAATATGATTTAAATTCAACAATATCAAAAATTATAGTATTATATATATTGATATAATATTCAATAAAGGTCCTAGAAACAATTATTATAAAGTAACTATAACATTAATTGTATTTATTAGTATCATTATTAAATATTAACAACTAAAAATATTTCTAACATTTAAGAAAATCTTTTACAAAAACCTTCTACAAATTTTGAGTAAATTTTTAAAAGTCCAAAACTGATTTATTTAAATTGGAGCAAATGAAACTGAAAAAAAAAATGAATTAAGATACCAAAAATATTTTTCCTTTTTAAAAAAATGGCTATAAAATATCTTAATTTTTCACCGGGTCTTGATTTAAAAAAACTGTTTTTATCCTTGGAAACCACTGATAGATATTTCTTTAATGGAGGTAACAAAATTTATTTTGTAAAATATATTGTGCAATATGATAGCTAAAAAATAAAATTATAAATGTTAAAAAAATATTTTTTAACAAATTTTTATATAGATTTAACTAAGTATTAGCTATTTATTACATTAATTATACTGTAACATCATATTAGATGGGCCTTTAAGTTTGATTACCCCCTGTACTAACAAATCAAATAAATTACAAGATAAAAAAAATGGTAGTAAATAAATTTTCAAATTGTGAAAGGACGTGTTATTTAAGAGTTGTATTTCTTTCAATTAAAAATGAATACTACATGTTACTGTTGCTGAAAAAGTATGGCGAAAGATCAAAATCATTGAAAAAAAAAAAACATAGAAGAACAAACTCAACTGTTAACTTTCCAGGATGTTCAATGAACAACTATTGCTATACATCAGTTGTTTGTCCTGGTTGCCGAAGAAATCTTTACAGACTCAAAAAGGGAGACTCACCTTGTGATGAATGTGGAACTAAGGTTACCAAGGTAAATTTAATGATTTTTTAGTTCCATTTTTTTTTATTTTGTTTATTTATAAATGTATATTTATTTAGGTAGAGTGGAAAACTCTTTTGAGAAATAGCTTCAGTACCAGTCTAACTCTTCCAGATGAGATAACTAATTTACCGACAACTGAGTCAAGTATATGTTCTTATTGCTTTACATTAACTGCACCTGGTTATTCTCATAACTGTATACCCACCAGTGCTGTGGCTAATATCATTACACTGTCATTTCTTCTAGGTTCTCTTCAAGATGAACAGGTAAAAAAAACTATATTTTGTTTATAAGTTTTTTTCTTTATGATTTTAAAAAAATCAAAAAGAACTTCTATTAAGCAGCTTTCCATTGAAATAATAAAGCAATTACAAATTGTGTCATAACTTTCAAATAGAAAAACAAAAGAGATGCTTTCTAGTTTACGCAAAGGTTTAAGAAATAAGCTTTCCATTGAGCCTAATATTTTTGGTCGTCTTTCTGAATTAGAAAAATATATTTTTAATTACTACAGTGTGCAGAAGTGCGAATTTGTTGATAGTAAAGGCCATTTTATTTTATGAGATCTTGTATATGTTCAAAATACAAAATTACGTGGTTTAGACTCTACTTCAGCCTTTATAAGGATTTCATTGGATGGTGGAGGTTCATTTTTTTAAGTAATCATCAATGTCTTTGATTGTCAAAAAGATAATGAGTCAGACAAGTACATAAATAGTGGCGTTTAACGGTCTCAATTTTTAGCTACTGTTGAAGATATTTGAGACTTGTTATAGAAAAAATAAATTTGCAAGATGCCAGTTTTTATGTTGCTTGACTTGAAATGTAGAAACGCGCTGTTTGGTTTATTAGGACATTCTGGGGAAAAAGCTTGTTTATGGTGTGAAAGAATATCTACATTAAATTTAGGGACAAAACGAACTCTTGGCAATATTGATTATTGGTACAATAAATATTTAAAAAACTCAGTAAAATCATCCATGCAAGAGTTTATAACCTGCATCAATCCTTAAACTTTATATATTATTTTGGATCCGAATACTTTAATTGAGCAACTCGTTCCTCCACCTTCATTTGTTAATTGGTTTTGTTTTACTGCTTGGAAATTTTTTGATAGATGTCTGGCCAAGATTTGATGATTGGCTTAAGTCAAAAAATGTTATTCAGCGAGGGTATCAAGGCAGAGGCTGGGACGGAAACAATTCAAACAAAATATTAGAAAATCTGGATTCTCTTGAAACACAAATTTTAGAAACATTTACTTGTTCAGTAATCAGTTTGAGAAACCAATTGTTCAGTGTTTGAGAGATTTTAGAAATGTAAAAAATTGTTGCTTTTTTCAGCAATTTACAATATCCGCACAAGAAGTTGCAATAAATCTAAATAAACAAATAAATACAACATGGAAAGTTCACATTTTACTGTGTCATGTACAGCCATATGTGGAACACCATAACAAAGGATTGGGTAACTTTGCTGAACAATGTGGAGAAAGTATTCATGCAAAGTTTAAACCAACATGGACAAGGTTTAATTGGCAAAAAGAGCATTATAAACATGATGACAGGCTATTATCAGCAGTAGTTGATTTTGGAGCAAAAAGAATTTGATTTTGTTTATAAATTTATTTATATAGTTATATATATATATATATATATATATATATATATATATATATATATATATATATATATATATATATATATATATATATATATATATATATATATATATATATATATATATATATATATATATATATATATATATATATATATATATATATATATATATATATATATAACTTTCTAAAGAGATCTGGAAACTCAAGGAAGCAGGCATTAAACCAATAATCAGGTGGAGTATTGTTAAAAAATGTTAACCCTATAACCCATCCTCAAAAAGGTGTAATCTATGCATAAATGAGAAATATTTTATTTTAACATACAATAAAGAACTCTTGTTAAATAAAAAAGTGAATTGGTTTCAGCATGTAGGCACAAAAAAAAGTTTTTGCTATTAAATTTAGACACCCCTTAAATAAATTCCCGATTGGCGTAAAAACTGGCATTTGAACTTATTGCAACGCAATTTTGTATTTTATAATGGTTTTTATTTTAATGATTTTAAATATATGGCTGAATGATTGCAATAAAAAAGTCGTATTTTTTTCATTATAAAATTAAATAAATTTTGATCTATCTTATAAATATCGATCATTCTTAAACCGACATAGAGCTGTATTTAATTCAACAGAATACAACACAACTCAATAATATATATATATATATATATATATATATATATATATATATATATATATATATATATATATATATATATACACATATATATATATATATATATATATACATATATATATATATATATACATATATATATATATATATATATATATATATATATATTTATATTTATATATATACACATATATATATATATATATATATATATATATATATATATATATATATATATATATATATATATATATATGTATGTATGTATGTATGATATATATGTATGTATGTATGATATATATATATATATATATGTATGTATGATATATATGTATGTATGACATATATATATATGTATAACATGAAATAGTTTTGAGTGTGTAGACAAAAACTTAATACATAGATCGATTCAATAGTTATTTTTAATCGAAGAAGTGTTAAATCTGTATCTTTGACATATTACTTAAAATATTTGACATTTATTTTAAAAAATTATTGTAACGGGCATCTCAAATGTTTAAATAGGCATATGGCCCCTCAATTTTACCTTTTGCCTATTTACGACCCTTGACTTTTTTTTTTTTTTTTTTAAATGGTTTTTTCTATATTTATTAAACAAATACTTTTGAATAAATTTTTTTTTTTTTGTAACTTGCAACTAGCATACCTAAATGGGCTTATGCCCCCCTTTTATTTACCCTTTTACCCCATTTATGACCCTTAGCAACTTGTTTGGATTTTAAAAATAATTTTTTTTATTGTTATAATACAAATATTCTTGAATAAAGAAGGGTTTTATTTGAGTGCCACGACATAAAACCTGGTGGTCTTTCTGGTACACAGTGTATAGGCTCTTTTAAATCTATGTACGTTTAAATTTTTTATATGAAAAAATTTAAACGTACATCGACCATTAGGATAATGGTCATAGACATTTGATCAAATAGAAATACGTTAATTCTAGATTTCTAAATACAAATTTAAACACAAATATATGCCATGGGGTTTTCTAAATAAAAAATACAAATACTTGCACTTTAGGTTAATAAAAGGTATAAAGGTTATTTCAAGACAGGTCTGATAAAATGGTATACTAAATAGAAGAATGAAGTCGTCTAACAAATACCTCTTAAAAACAATTTTTTTTAATTTATTTTAGTGTTAAAATTGAAAAAAATGTACCTTAAGATTTTCCCTAAAAAAAAAAAACACAGGTTAATTAGTTTATGGAATTGTAAATATCTTTCAAACAAATACAAATATTTATGAAATTTTTTTATCAAATACAATACAAATTCAAATACGCCAAATTAGCCTATTTTCACCAAATACAAATGCAAATACATATTTGTCCCCAGCCCTGCTGAAAATATTTACTTACAAAAGTTTTTATTAAAAAATTTTTTTGTAAACACTTATTGCTATAATAATAACTTTAATAAGATTTTTTTTTATTCTGTAAAATGTTTTACTATCGAATGTTCAGACTGATTTGTAATAAACTTATAATTAAATATAAATTGTAATTGATTATAATTAATTATAAATTAAAATAGTTATATATTATAGAAGTATGTCATGCAAGTATGTGTTATCAACACAACTCTCAAACCTGACATAGATCATCTGACACTTGAATAACTAAATAAAAAAACTTAAGATGTAATATTAACATTATGGCCTAAATTCTTTATGGTCCACAAAAAAAGCTGGACTTTTTTTGTGGACCCTGATGCAACCTGAACCCTGATGCATCAGGCTTTCCCAGGAAAGGCGTGCGGTCGCACGCCTTGTTTGTTTACGCATAGAATAAGTTTTTCAGAAAACGTGACCACGGCAATATTTCGTGTGAAAGCGGAAATTATTCACAGAGAATAAAGAATAATATTAAAAAAAGGAAACGAAGTCTAAACAAAGTATAAAATTGAAATTGGATGTAAGAAAAATGTTTTGATAATAAAAAAAAAAATTTTAAAAAAAAATTCTTGTAACAACAAAAAAAAAAAGTCTTGAACATTTTTTTCAAACTTTTTATACTGTTTTTGTTTGCTTTTTTAAAGGTTGTTATTTTCAGCTACGAAATTTGATACAAGTCAAGGGAAAGACGACAATAAGTCGTAAAGTTTTCACGAAAATAAAAAGACTTGATACGTAATTTATTCACGAACTTTATCAGACAATGTATTAAAAAACTGATTCATTATTTACGCTAGACAAATTTGGTTAAACTTTTTCATTTACTTTAGTTTTTACGAAAGTTTATGTAAAGGCGTTGACTTTATTCCCCAATACTTTGACAAGAAAATAAGTTGCTGTTTTAATTATTAAAAATATTATTTTAGATTTTAAACATAACAAAATTTTAATGTGAAAAAAATTCTTTCTCGACTTATTCTAAACTGATTATACTGAGTCAATGCTCGCCTTTTATTACGTTGAAATTATTCAATTGCATAATTTTGTAATTACGAAAGAAGTTAAAAAAATAATTGCATTGCTTCTGTTGTCATTGTTACGAAAACAGTTCCTTCGGGACATTATTATATATTAACACTCGTTCACAATGTCAATTAATGATTGCAAAATAAACAACTTAATCGTTTGACAATAAAATTTTCTTTTGTTTAAAAAACAACAACATATTTTACTTATAAATAGCAATCGTTTTCGTGTTTTCTTGTGTATCAATACATTCAAACATTTAAATCAATACACTTAACCATTTAAATGTATTTACGAAACATTTAAAAATTGTTTATAGTTCTATCGTGAATTTTAAAGTATTCTTGACTGATAAAAGTCATAAACAAATTTACATTAAAAGGTCCTTTTATTTTCTTTAAACATTAATCTTTTTCTCTTTGATTTTATTTTTCATAGCTAAAATAACTACCACCCTAAAAAAAAAAAAAAAAAAAATGTAGGTAAATTTTTTTTTTATAATATACATTAATTTTTTAATTTTAAAGCACAAACAGATTTCTGTTATTTACTTTAAGATTGCTTGCATTTTTGCGGTAATTTCGTTTAGCTTTGTTTTGGCGCGAATTCTTGAAACGCATAATAATAAAACGTGGTCAGTTAGTCAGAAAAATTTATTCTATGCGTGGACAAACAAGGCGTGCGACCGCACGCCTTTCCTGGGAAAGCCTGATGCATGTACATTTCTTGCATGTTCTCATAAGCAGCACTTGAGAATCAGGTCTACATTCACCAATGCCAACCTAATTGCTAACCTATAAATGTCTAGGGTAGGCAAACTTGCCTGAAAATTATTTGTCAAAACGTATTGATTTAATGATAGATTTGGTTTCATATAATATTCAGTAAAACCTTTAACTTACATGCCTCTGTTAAGACTAAACTCACCATCAAATATTTTCAATAAAGTTTTATAAGCACTTTAGTTCCAAAAAAAAACTAAAATATGAAAATCATTATTCCTTTAATAATTTAGCAATTGTCGAAATGAAAAGGTATTGAGATATAATTGCTGTGTTTTTTTTATCAAGATTTTAATGTTTTAATTTAAAAAAAAAAATTTTTACTTTTTAAAAAATTTTTAAAGGCTATTTGTATTTTAAAAAATTATGTAAATTATTTTTATTTTAAGCTGAGACCTTGAGTCTTAAGGAATAATTAACACTTTTCAAAAGTCCTTATCACTCACCATATAGCATGCTAATAATGGAAATATTAGGGCAAAAAGTAATTTTGTCAACTTGTAGAACAAAATACTGCTGCAGATTTAGTAATAAATCCAGGTCTGCAAAATTTAGTTTTCAACCAGTTACAGTCAGCACAAACCAATGTCAAGGGAGAAAAAGAGGGAAATATAATTTGTAAAATACATAATAAAATAAATGCTACTAACTATAAATTTACAGTCTTACCATTTATTATGAATCCTGTTCTTAAACCAATTATCTCAACCGAGTTATCCCGCAATGTCTTCAAAAAAGCAGATATATGTTTAGGAGACATAGATAAAATGTTTTGAATTGTTAAGCATGTTAACTCTTGCTCTGGAATTTGCGAATCATATTGAAAAAAAGAGAAACTTGGAGAATCATCAGGAGTGTGTATAGACAATGATGACTTCATGGCTAAAATCCGATTTAAAATGTTTGTATCTGGACTAATACTAATAAAAGAGGAGAGCTTACCAGTGCCAGGAATTTCACATTTTTCTTTTTTTTGCAATTCTAACTGTTGAAAAATAACAGTTTGACTAAAAGACGGCTTTAACCTTTCAATTTCTATTTTGTCCCATATCTTTTTTAAAATTTGTTCCAAGTCTGTTACATTCAAAAAATGAGTTGCTGCATGAAAAAAAGTTCCATGTTTGTTTTTTTTTAATTTTTGTTTTGTATTTTGATTTTCTGTTATACCAACCACCAGCATAAGCTCACCATCTAAATTTACTTGAAACAAAGATACAACATCAAACGGTATTTCTGTTAATTGTGAAGTAATCTCCCACTTACTACCTTGTAATAAAAGGAGAAACAAAGTGACTAATCCAATATAAATATCACTTGCTAATGAATTAATAACAGGGGAAACTGAATCAGGGCAATTCATCTTTATGACACCAGGTGAATCTAAGCTAATTTTTAAAGTTAAAATCTGTTTATTTGTACTTGGAATAAATGGATAACCTTCTTGAAGCGACACACTCTAAGAAACAAAATATATACTTCTCAAGATATATATACATATAAATATATATATATATATATATATATATATATATATATATATATATATATATATATATATATATATATATATATATATATATATATATATATATATATATATATATATATATATATATATATATATATATATATATATACAAATTAAAAGAAAGTCAGTTTATTTAAAGACCTGTCATAAGTAATTGATACAATCTATGATTCTATAATTTTAGAAAAATTATAGCAATACTGTAACAAACAAAATATTTTGTTGGATTAAAAGCTACTTTATTGACCAAAAATAGTATGTAATCAATTCCAGTATGTTAAAGATTAACAAAATAGCTAATAACAAGTAAAAAATGTTTTAATGCCACTGTTGCACTTATATTATTTAATACTAAATTTGTTCAATTATTTATTTTAAAAACATAAATTAAAGAGGTAAATTTTGCAGTTAAAAAACCTAACTGCACCAATACCAAAACACAAGACACAAGAGGTTGAAATTAAGACATCCAAAATACATTTTGAGGGCAAGGTAGTGTTAAAGTTCCTTTTTTCTTACATCTTGATTATAAAGAACAAAAATAATGCAAATGAAATATTTATATACTTTAATCAACCTGTCTTTATTATTAAACAAATACTTTGAACATAAAAATATTTGGGACATAATTTCTGAGAAAAAACATTTGACTGATAACAAATGCAGCATTTATTATTTATGGAATGTAGGAATTATTAATTCCTATATACATCAGTAATATAAATTTGAATTCGACTAAAACTCAAATAAATTATCATATTAGTTTTAAAAATCAAGCAAAAAAAATTTTGGAGTGGAGTTTCCACAGATTCTATTTACAATAATGCCATAAAATGAAACAATTTCTAATTAGTAAAAACAACGTACATAATAATATATGCAAAGGGTATGAAAAATTATTTTATCAAAAATAATCCTAAAAATATAAAATAAATAAAAATAAATAAGAAAACATAAGACCTGATCATACAGAAGACTTCTGAGCTCTGAAACTTCTTCAAGAATGTGCTGGTTTGTATGTAAACCGTTTGTTGACAAAACACTTTTTTTTTTCTTTTTCTTCTTTTTTTTATTAGTCTCCATTGGTAAATGAAAACTATTGTTTTTAATCAGCAGATTAGAATTATCATTTTCGTTTAGCTGAACAGAGTTATTGGTTCCTATTGGTGGATTTAAACTCTTGCTTGAATCTAAACACTTGCTTCCAGCTATATTGTTGGAAATAGTGTTTGCAGTACAATGTTTTAGCTTTGAAATATTTGAATTGTTTGAAATCTCTAGATGGTTTGAATTCTTTTGATTCTTTAAAGTCTGCAGATGGTTTGAATTCTCTGGATAATTTGGTTTCTCTAGATGGTTTGAAGCCTCCAGATGGTTTGAAACCTCTAGATGATTCAAAGTCTCAATTACTTTTGCTGCACTTACTTCAGTTCCCTAAAAAAAATATTACCAAAATTAATATATAAACTATATGAACATACAAACAACTCATACACATCTATATAAAAACACTGCAGAAACTTCATGCATACAACTAAAGTTTTAGGTTTGGGCATCTAAAATCTATGTATAAAGGATATGGGTAAAAGCTCAAAAAGCTTGCAATGATAAAAACTATCTTTTTTGTCTAGTCTTTTCTCTCATTTACATTGTAAGAAATGACTCAGAAAAATCAATAATAATTTTAGCAAATCCATGTTGCTCCTTTAAAAAAATTGCTGGTAGAGGGGCCATCAGTTGTTGAGTAGGTAAACATTGTACTGCATCACAGACTTTTTCTCATTATCATATAAACTTTCAAAATTATTCTGATAATTTTGTTAGCAGTTAACTTGTTCCCATCACATGATTTCTATTGTCACGTTAATGTTTAACAATTAGTTTTGTAACTATGTGACCTATTGGCTGTAATATCATTCTTTTTATGCAAATCATTTACATAATTACATTTACTTATAAATTGATGTATCCATCTATACATCATAACAAGTTTACAACACAACAAGCAACTGATTTACTTAAGTAAATAATGTGAAACTCATCAATACAATATTCTACTTTACTTCAACTGAAGCTTTATTTGTAAATTCAATGAGGTTATGTGGCCATTTATTTCAAAAAATTTAGAAAACGAGTCTATGCAACAGCACAGTTTGTTTGCTAACTTATTTGCTGATATTCTTCTGGTTAGCAAATCCTCTATATTAATATTAGTTTGTTGATATGTAGGTCCATTGTTTTATTTCAGTCTTTGATTAAATGTATTATGATCACACAGGTTACTTTTTCTATGTCATATAAACATTGTTAATAAGCAACAACATTATATGCTTTACGAGATAAACTGGTTAAAACATGTATTGATTGATTTTTTATCTGTGAATGTTTATCATATGGGTATGTTTGGGTGATCTTTTAAATCTTAAAACCATTGATCAATTTTACTAATAACTTTATCTAAAATTTTATCATCCTAATTAATAAAAAATTCTTGCTTAATTATTAAATCTTTTCGCTGTTTTTTTAAGCAAAATAAATCACGTTTTCAAAAGTGAAAGCAATCAAATATTGCAGCCATTTTTAATGGCAATTTGCTTTTTACATAAGGTATTTGTTTGTTGGCAACAGAATGAAAAGTAAATAAATTAGTTTTTGTTTTCCACAAAAATTTTTAGTACATGTAACTTTCTAGAAATCTAAATTTATATGTTTTGCACAATTATTTTCAAGTGTTGCTTTAAGAACTTCGATGGATTTTGAAAGTCATTTTTAAGCAAACACTTCAACTGAATATCCTAGTAATCACAGTAACCATAGTAACATGAGTTTTTAGAATAATTTTATTTCTGTATTTTCATCAGCTACAGAAACTATTGGTTAAAGAGTAGCTTCAAGAACAGCTTAAGAAGCCAAATAAAAATTTTTATGTGTACATTCTTGCATGTTATTGTATTACAAATTGTGCTATGATAAAAGCTCAGTTGGTCTCTAATACTCCAAGCTTGTTAATATTTTTAAAATTACTTATTACCTTAGTTCCGATAACTTTTTAATTGTGTCGTTAGCATCTTCTATTTTCTATTAATTGGTACCAACTTTGAAAAGTGAGTTTAGAGATTCTGGAACCAATACATGCCCATCAAAGGTGTGTGAGCTGAATAACTGGTTCATTAGATCCTCGCACTGTGTGATCGCACTGTGTGATTCAGCATAATCCACACAAATTAGAACATATATTTTTGGTTTTAGTTCAATGTTTCATAATTCTCTGTTTCTTTATATTTCTGTTTCTTCATAATTCAAATGCTTCTGCTTTCTTGACATTTTTGCCTAATTAAATACTTTTAAGTTTCCACCATTATAGTTACACCATTTGTTACATCAAACACCATTACGGTTCGTTGCGCCATACACTTGTACAGATACACCATTACAAGTTAAACCATTTTGTTTTTTAATAGTTGTTTTTTCATTCATTGACTCCAGCAGGAATTTAACTGGCATTGTTTTAAATGAATCAATTTTTATGCATATCATAATGACAGTTGCCTTTTTTGTTTTACATTGCAGTTACTCAGAATTTAAGTAAGAGAGCTACATCAGAATTCAATGACTTCATACATTCATCGTTAAGCAATCCATTCAACACACATTTTTTATCATTATTGTTTTATTTTAATTTTTTTAATATTTGTCACATGAGAATTTTCAATTACCATGTCTATTTTCTTGGGTTCCTCTGAAAATCTTTTAGTTAAATTCTTATGAAGCAAATGATTTTGTTAATATGTAAAACCATTAATTCCAAAAAGTTTCTGTATTCTTTTGACGTGATATTAAAATTTAGAGTTTGGGAAACCTGACTACCAGTTGGCTTAAGAACCATAAAACAGAGTTTTAGAGCTGTACCCTCATTTGGAGATAATAGAATGAATTGCCTAGCCATAAAAACAGACACAGGTAAAAGCCTTGCATTGAATCAAGAAGATCCTGCATTCAACATCTAAAACTGGTAACAATGTATTATAAATACATCTACACCAACATAATAGATGAAGTAGGGGTTGATAACTTTGTTTTGTGTCTTTGTCATTTGATTACTCAATTCACATCACTTAATTTTACACATCAGTAAAACTTCATTTTGTATTGTTAAATTTGATACAGGCTTGGCCAGGAAGGCGTGCAATTTCATGCCATAATATGATAACGTAAATACTCTTTGATTTTGAATACTTGATCATGTCTGTTAAAATGTTTTGAAAACTTGTATACATTTTAAAAATTCACTGAAAAAACTATTTCAACTTAAATATAAAGAAAATGAAAAAAAAATTCTTAAAAGAAGCAAATAAATCTTTTTATTCTTCAAATAAAGATTCTTAACGATTCTTTGTAGTCAAAAAAAACAAAAAATAAAATCAAATCCTTTTTTTTTTAAAGTTGATATAATTTTTTTATTTAAAGACATTTATAATAAAAAATACATACTTATAGAAATATAAAAATATGAAAAATCATTTGTAATGATTTGTTACTTTATCTTAATGTAATTCATTAATAAAAAAACATATATGAAGATCAATTCAAACAGCTTTAAAAAACCTTTTTTTCTTCTCAACAAAACTTTGTTTTCAAGCGTATCAAATTTAATAATTTTTATATAAAGTTTATTAAAGAGACAATTGTTGATTAAAGTCATTGCTTATAAAACAAACATTTTTTTTTAATATCATTATTGCAAAAAAATCTTATATAATTAAATAAATAAAAATTTAAACAACTTTTATTGATACTTTAATTAAAATCATTAGTTACTTTATTAAAGATGAATGTGGCGAAGTTATTTATTTTTAGTGTAATTAAAAACCAATTTTTTCAGCGCATTTTTAATATGATAAAAACTGTGGTTAAACCGTCAAAAAAAAATAATTGTGTGATTATAAAAAGGCTTTTTACATGCCATCCTAGCCAAGCTTGCTATTAGTTAATTTGATTTTCAATTTCTCATCTTTACCATTCTTCTGTAACAAAGAAACTCTCTATCAATAATAATCTGAGGGTGATCGATTAAATGAAAATAATTGACTTATTTTGATCAAAACATATTACTTATAAAATATATAATATTATAATATATAATTTAAGATATTTGATGGTTAAAATAAACCTTTTCTTAATTTTTGTCAACTATCTGGTTCTTTTTAATCATGTAAAATGCATAAATTAACACAAGTAATTTATGTATATAAAATAACGTAATAATAATCTCATCTGATCAACCCAATTTTTTATTTTTAACAAATTTACACCGTTTTTAAAAATATAGGGCATAAAAATAGTATTAATAATAATAAAATAAATAAAAGCAATAGTAAAATGCTCATTAAATAAATATATAGAATTTAAATATATTATGTTTACCTGCTTTTCAAAGCTCTGTGCTAATGAGCCAAAGGATACATTATTATCTGTACATAAACAAGATTTTTCATAATCATTAATTTCTCTAACACCATTTGTATCACTTTTAAATACCCTTTCTTCATCTTTCGTTCCTTGAGTATCTTTATTTTTTTTACTTAATATGGAAGTTTTCGGTTTAGTCATTATTTTATTTTCTTCATGTTTTAGATTTTTTAATGATCCTTCAGCTGAAAAAAACGATTTTGTAAACAAGCTGTCAAACACTTCATTATAAACACTTTTTAATGGACTAGCATTTTTTTTTTCACTAAAACTATCTTTATCTAAAATATTACACCAGTCAATAACTTCTGTCTTCATATCATAGTCTATGTAACTACATGAGTCAAACACAGGGTGCACAGATTGTGAAACTTCTAAATCATAAATGAAAAAAGTGAAATTGTATATACAAAACAAAATAGACTATAAATATTCTAATCTAAAAAATACTAAAATGTTTTTGAGTGTCTAGAATTTTAAAAAAAAACTAATATATATATATATATATATATATATATATATATATATATATATATATATATATATATATATATATTATATATATATATATATATATATATATATTTACAAAAACAATTAATTACAGTAATATAACCATATTTAAACCTTGTCGTAAACCTAACACTTAGCCTGACCTTGATGCTGATCCTAACCAAACCCTCAGTCGATGTAGCAGCACTCCCTTGCAAGTCAGGCTTTTGATAATTGATGTACTTTTCACACACTATTTAACGACCATGATTCTACACTAGTTTGGCTTAAATGGTTTCCATAATGTCATTTAAAATGACATGGAAATGTTAAAACATTAATTTGCAACAAAATGTCATTTCTAGTAATAACTTGCTTTGCAGAACAGAACTAGGATTTTTTTATTATAATAACACCACATGAAGGTCTACAACCTATTGTTTACAAGGTCCTCCTACCCTTGCTCACAATTAAAATAGGAGTTTTATATCAAAGTTTCCCTCTCCTAGATTATCTACACCACAACTGAGAAACTACACTTGCCTTTGATATAAGATCAGTTTAACATCTATTGCAGATTAAAGTTGGCATAGAACAAATATAGTCTTAAATAATGTCTTTTGAGACAATCAAGAGAAAAAAAAGGATATTATAAAAACTAAATTTTGTTTTTTAATGGTAATAAATGTCTTTTATGCAGCTATATAAAAGACATATACATTTATATTACAGCCATTAATGACACCTGTACAACTGTCATTTATGGCTGTGAATGTTTTAGATACTTGTTAAACCTAATTACCAGCTAAATCCTAAAACTAAAAAGTTTGCTGAAGTCCAGCAGATGGCTATTTTAGTGACCTGTAATCAGTTATATTTCATGCACAATTAAATATGTAGTTTTTTTTTATATATTAGAGGTTTGAGGTATTTCTAATACCTTTTTTATTTATAATGCTTAAAATAAGGTGCACTATAAAAATAAATTACAATAAAAATAAAAGCAAATAAAAGCAACTAGATCATGGCTACAGTTTTAGAAGTCCAAATAGATCATGTCTCAATAGGTCATGTATACATATAATAAACCCTATCGATAGCAGATATATCTTTTATTAAAAACTAAGGACACTCAAAAACACTGCCACAATGCAAACAAAAAATAATCTAAATTAAACTTTTTAACTGACTACATGCATTTTATGTTAAACTATGTCAATTAAACGAAATGTTATTATGTTAAATTAAGTTAATTAAACTAAGGCATTTTTAGTAATAAAATAACCAACTTTGTAAGTGCTATCTTGCAGTAAACTATATACATTTATTATTTGTATTAGTTGTCTGATGTTTATTTAAACCAGTACCTTTTTATAATTGGTCCTTAACCTTAAACTAAGCACAATGCTTATCATGTATATTTTCAAAACAAAAATAGAGAAAATAAATAAAAATAAAAATCTACTTTGATTTCCATCTTCATCGTTATCTTTTATTTCTATAATAGGGCTACACATTTTGTGTTGCCTAAATTTATATTCATTATTATTATTGTTAACAACATTGTTTTTACTTTTTTCATTGACATTATTAGAATCCGCTGTTTTCTTAGAAACAATGTCACAAATATACTCATTGGACGATATATCTTTATGAGTATTTTTAAACTGACTATTCTTATCATCACAATGAGGTGTACTATGGTTATTCAAGAAAACATGATCATCGAATCCACACATAATACGGTTCACCTCATCCAGCATGCTATCAACAGTATTGATCATATTAACATCTTGTTTTTTTTCAACTAAACTATGCGCAACATCACCCAACATAAATTCACGTTCAGAAACTCTAATGCGATTCCTAAAATCAATTTCACTTTCACTTTCTATTTTCAAATGTTGTGATTCTTCAATGTAACTGCAAGGTATTTGAGATTCATGTTTTTTTCCTAAATTAATGATGCTTTGACTTTTTTGTTTTAGTTCTTGGCGCATTTTTTCAATATCTTCATCGTCATCCAAATCATCAGTATTTGTAGAACTAAAACATAAAATAAATAAATTGAAAATTATTGTTTTGTGTGATTGAAATAACACTAAATAATATAACAATTTAAAAAACAAAACATAAAAAAAGCAAAAAAGTTAGTATTTAATTACCAGATTAGCTAACATTAATGATACGACAATGGAGTAAAAAGATACCCTCATAAAAACATTTTTAAATTTTTACATTATTTAGGAAGTTCATTTGGCATTATACACAAGCAAGTGTTTTTAATGACTCAAACATTTTATTCAAATTTATTTATTTTGTTTTTTCAATACATTTTTGAAAATAACCTATTTAAATGACATGTTATAAAAGTTCATTAAATCAACCAACTATTCAAATTCATTTCTAAATTTAATTTTCTTTAATTGAATTGTTTTACATTTTAAATTGATAAGGTGGAATAGACATTTTATTAAAAATTAAAAAAAAGTTATTATGATAAATATCTGATTAACAAATTCATTTTTTTCTTTGCAACCTGGAATTCTTGTAATTATTGTAAACATATGAAATATAAAAAAACATTTTACACCCCAGTGGAAATATGTTTAAATGTACCAGGGTCATGTCATGTCACTTTTTTGTACTGACACCTACTCTCAGAAAATAACAACAAGGAAAAAAATATTTGGGTCCAAGAAAAAAAATACATTTTTGTAAACACACCAGAAGGCCAGTGTTTTTCCTTACATGTAAAATAAATATTTTATTTAATCATGCATTATTACAAGACTTTTTTTTTTTTATAACATATTTTAAAATCTTTAAAATAATCACAATTGACAAAGCTCTTATTTGATAGGTAATATTTTCTCATTTCAAATTTGGTTGCTAAGTTATTAAGTGCTTTTATTGCACACATAAGCTTTTTCAATTCATCAGGTACGATCGCAAACTTGGATATGAGAATATTGTCAAATGTTTGAATGTTATCCAAAAACTTTCAACACTGTCTTACCTTGAATGGCTGCTGTTAAATAAATCCAATTACTTTATCCCACATATCCATGAAAATTGATGTTTTTGTTTTGGACAGTATATTGTCACCTATGTTATACAACCGTTTGTATTTCTAGAAAATAAATAAAGTATTTTGAAGGAAGGATTTCTGCAACAAATGTACCATCTTTGTAAGCAGGGCTGTGGAGTCGGAATTGCGGAGTCGCAACATTTTTAGCGGAGTCGGAGTCGCTTAACAAAATTGCGACTCTGACTCCAATAGTAAAACTTCTAGGTATTGCACATGCATGTACAAAACATTCAATTAACCTTATGTTCATACTAAACCTCAAAGAACATTTCATAAATTTTTCAAAAAAGAAATTATTAACTTATTGCATAACATTTTTGAAAGAATTCAAAGAATTTTTCAAAAATTTTGCTTTGGAGTTGGAGTCGGAGTTGTACTTAAAAAATTTCAACAACTGGAGTTGGAGTCGTCATCTTTTTTTACTACTCCACACCCCTGTTTGTAGGTCTAGCTAAGGAGTTTGGACATTCTTGAATTGTGCAGCAGGAGTGAATTTGGTGCAGCAGGGCTTTTTTATTCTGTGAGTCTTACTAATTAGGACGAAGTGTCCTAAAAAAAATGCAGACTAAAATCCTGAATAAAAAAAATATACAGAATGAGGTTAAAACAGTATAAAAAAAATTTTTCACAATGCCAAAGCAACTTCCAATTACCTTATGTAGCTACAGACTGTGAAATGCTGCATGTCTTGCTTTGACAGTTTATACCAATCGAAGGGATGAAGATAATATAAGAGTTTTCAACAAAATTTTAAGAGCAATTTATAAAGTTAAGTATTACCTGTTATGAATATTCATTTTTTATCACTAATCTATTCATTTCATGATAAAACAAAATAGTCAAATTACTTAATTTTAAAAAAACTATGCAAAAAAATGTTCTCTTTTTTATATGATTTTTTTAAATGTAAATGTTTTGATTTTAAACAATTTAATTTTATAATAATTTAAAAGAAGAAGATGCTTCCAAATGAAAGTTTCCAAATAAAATTAATTTGCTGCTACCAAATGAGTACCAAAATGTTTGTAAGTTTCAAATCGAATGCTAAAACCAAGTCCTTATTCACTTCACAACAATTAATACTTAAACAAACCTTAAACAATCCTTTTTCTTTATCTATTCCAATCTTTAAAATTTATTTTGAGGATGATTTTTTTTTTGTCACTAGCTTATTGACTTAAAGTTTTGAAGCATCAAAGAAAGAATCTAGAACACAGTCTTGAAACACAATTTTTTCTTACAGATTTAAATAACTCTCTCCCTTTGCAGCTCCTATTAACACTATAAGTAGTTTCTGTTTGGGATACTCTTACCCTCGTATATTTTTCAATCTTGTTACTTCACTAGCTGGCTGGCTTTAGTGGTTGAATTTCCAAAATTCTCATGGATTTCTTTGAGTATATTGTAATGATTGTTTTAACAATAGCAATATTATGATTGCTAAGACAGTAACGCTATGAAACCAATAATTTCTTGACAATCAATTCACCTGCTTGTTTAGAATAAATCATGATTGCAACACATGCAATTATCTTTAGAAAGCTATATGAAAAACTTTCTATAATGATTGTTAAACTATAACCGTGAAGATTCCAATTCCGCACAAGCAATTCTCACTTAAATAAAATAAAATACATAGCTCTATATATATAGAGCTAATATATCAATAGAGTTGGAATAATGATACAAGAATACTACACACAGTTTAACACAATATAATTAGTTGTAATAACTTAAATGCATATGTATAAATAAATGTCAAACAAAAACAAACACTAATTGTCTTTGCTATAAAAAAGAATACAAAATATTACATATATGTTCTTCGTAAATGATGGCACATAAGAAAAACCATATTAAAATATTTACTTTTACATTTCATTCAATAACTTAGTAAACAATATATGATATGAGAACATATTACTCATCAAATAAAAGCTATAAATGAAAATGAGAAAAAAAAAGTCTTGGCATAATTCTTGATCAAATAAAATATTTTGTGTACATGTGAGGAAAAATACTGGCCTTCTAGTGTTTACAAAAATTTATTTAAATTTATTATTAGAATTTAAAATACTTTTTCTTTGGTGTTATTTTCTAAAAGTAGAGGTCAGTATGGATCCAAAAAGGTATGAACATGATCCTGGGATATTTTTTTGCTTTGAACTTACTTAATTACTAATAACCTAATAATAATATAATTACTAATTGATTACTAATAACCAAGTTTCTTTAGGTTGCTTTTGTCAAAACTCTATTTTTTTGTAACTCTGAATAATTTATACTTATAATTTACTTTTACAGCTTATTATTTTAATTTCGAACTTTTGAAATTAGAAAAAATTTTAATACGAGGTCATATCAATTGTTATCATTTTTAAGAAAAAAGAATTTAAAGTAACTTTTTTTTAAAGAGGAGTTTCTAAATTAAAACTATTAAGCACCAAGTAAAATAAAATAAATTTTAACAGGGTAACTTCAAAAGGTAAGGTAACTGTAACAGAATACTTTCCAAATGTAGGGCAACTGTACCAGAATAATTTATTTTAAAAAACCAAAAACATTCTATTAACATATAAATTTTAGAAGAAAAAAATCTAACCAATTGTTTCCATAGCGAGCCATAACAGTCAGGTTAATTTTTTTTTCTTGTGGAATTGCCTATAAAACAATTGCAAATACAAATATTGTATACAAATATTAAAAGATATATAAAAACATTTACTAATTTATATTTGACAACAGATATATTAATTTTAAATAAGTACAAAATTTTAAACAAAAACAGAGGACTTTTTTTTAAAAAAATGCTTCTTATGTTACAATGTAGCCATCAAAAAAGTAAAAAGCAAATAACTATCCCGCTATAAGTATATAAAACATAACTTTAAACGCTTTAAGTTTATACAATATAAAGGGAGAAACACTTTAAACAATCATATTTAAGGGTATATATCAGGATATATATCAGATTATGAGAAAACATATCTTTATAATAAAACTTTTTAGTTTTATAATTTTAAATTATAAAAGTAAAAAGAATTCTATAAAAATTAATAGTATCTAAAATAATAATAAAAATTATAATAAAACTATATTTTGAAAGTCATAATGCCAAAGTTTGTTTTCTGCATTTCTTATGTTTTAATTAATAATAATTATGATAATTAATTAGAACAAAAAAAATAAGAAAATTGTACAATCGATTAAACATATTTAAAAAAATACTTCCTAAATAAAAACGAAAAAAGTTTTATGGTTTAAACAAAAATACTAAATTATTATTTAATTTTTTTACAAATTTTACTTAAGGATTTAGAGATAAAGTAATAGAACTAAATTTGTCGAAAAAAATATTTTTTAGAAAGACCTTGTTAAGAAGACAGGCCTAGTAAAGAAGCATTTTACAACTTGCATTTTACGTACATTCAATAGTTTTATGCTAAAAGAAAACTTTTTTATTATGGAATATCTAAATTATCTTTCAATATTATTTATGTGACAAAAAAAAATTCGGAATATATTTTCCCTTACTTTCATTATAATTTTGCTTTTAGCTGAGTTGTTTAAAAAGTTTTTTCCTAAGTTAATAATTTTTGTATGTGTGATGAGTGAAATAGCATAAAAAACAAATATATACAGCTAAACTTGTATGTATGGAAAATGTTTTGGATATCCGGAAAAACTAAAAGTTAAGAAAAATATCAGGAATTCTGGAAATATCCAGAAAAAGATAATCCCTGTATATTAAATTAAAATATGCAAAAACAAATTAAAAACTTTTTTTTTCTTATAAAAAGGTTGAGGTTTTTTTGATTAAGAGAACTCTTTTTTTATTAAGAGAACTACAAATGTATTAAAAAATTTTTGGTTCTTATTAATTCAATACACGTGTAAAGTTCTTCACATGTAATACATTTATGAACATAAATTACATTTACAAATATCTAATTTCCTGATCTATTTGGACCTGCTCTTATTAATGTTGCTTCTCTTTCTTTTTTCTACAAATACTATATTAGGCACTGCTCTAAAGAGCTAGCGCCTCTTGTGCCATCGGCTAAAATTCATTTTTGTGTTACTTGTCATTCAATAAAGTCTCATTCGTTTACTATGACTGTTCTTAAGTGCTCCAAAAACTCTTATTTATCTAGTTTTTTTCCTCGAACCTCGAACCTAGCTTTCCTCGAACCTCGTTCCAGTTCTTTGGAATTTTCTTTTTTTATCTCGCTTTCAGGATTCATAACTGGCAATCTTTTAAGTCATCTTTATCAAAAATGCTACATTAAATACGTGAAAATAAACAATTTGTGATTTACATAAGATTATGTTTAATATAAGTTTTAAGAAATAAATTATAAGAAAATAAAATCTTTTTCAAATACCAAATTTAGATTCTATCTATAACTTATTATTCTTATATTACTTTAAATTATTTGTAACACGGTTTAAAATTACATTTAATTACAGGGCGGTATTTTAAAATACTTTCAAATGATCTATAGTTTTTAGGCTACTGTAACAAATAAAATCTAAATAATTACTACATATTAAAAGCAGAAGGTTTTAAAGTATTTGCAAATTGCTCTTTTATATTTGATAATAAGTTGTAGTTGAAAAAAAAGAGCTTATTTTATTAATAAAATAAGGTTATAATTCAAGTGAAAAAACAATGGCTTTTCTACTTTAAGATAAAGCACATATATCCATGTGCTTTATCTGAAAGTAGAAAAGTGAATGTTATCAATAGTTTACATTATTAGTTTTATTTACACAAATAATTTCTAGTCTACACTTAGCCCTATAAGGAAAAATGACTAGAACATGCAAGAATGCAAAAAAATTTATAAAAAATAAAGATGCACAACTTAAAATGTGGGTAAGCAACTAACATTAACGACCTGGTTACTTTCAGTCAATTTTTTATCTTAAATGACATTGATTTGCTAAATTTATTTACTACCTAATGCCTTTTTAGGCCTTGACTAGTTTTGCAGACCAGGAATGGGTATTTAACACTTTACTATAATCAAGAAACAAAAAAAAAAAAAAAAAAAACAAATATAAAAATAAAAAAGAGGAGTTAAAGTGGAGTTAAATTTTCAATATTTTAGGAAAAAAAAAGTACATTAGAGGATATTAGAAGAAGATATGTAAAGGAGATGTGGCTACCTGTTAAGGTGTCATTTTTAAAGGCATCTTCAAATATAAATTCATATTTTACACATATTCATATTGCATGAATATGTATATATATATATATATATATATATATATATATATATATATATATATATATATATATATATATATATATATATATATTATATGTATATATATATATATATATATATATATATATATATATATTATTTTAATTCACCTCCTCAAGGTCGAGAAGGCCACTACAGACGAGGAGGCTACTTATTTAAGGTTATAACCCTCTCTCAACTCTATAACTCCGAAACACGAACCTTGACGAGCAAGGCCTCTGCGCGAAGAAACGAGTTGAGCGCGGTACTACCAGGGACGTGGTGGGATATATATATATATATATATATATATATATATATATATATATATATATATATATATATATTTATATATATATATATATATATATATATATATTATATATATATATATATATATATATATTTATATATATATATATATATATATATATTTATATATTTATATATATATATATATATATATATATATATATATATATATATATATATATATATATATATATTTATATATTTATATATATATATATATATATATATATATATATATATATATATATATATATATATATATATATATATATATATATATATATATATATATATATATATATATGTACACAATCATATTTAAAACATTTTTTTGAATAACAATAATTAATTAGGAAAAGAATTTAAATCTTGTACTATTTAATTTAATCATCGTTATGAGTAATAAAATAATGATTGTCCAAATAATACTATACAAAATTATAAACAACAACATATTACAACAACAAATATCTTAATAATTATCCAAAGGAAATTGTTGTTTAGTATTGTTGTATTTGATAAGATATTATCTGCATATTTATTACTTTTTCATTTCCTTTATTTTTCAAAAACTTTTATTCTTAATTTCAAAAAAATCAAATGCCTTTGTGGATGCCACTGCGTAATACATTTATAAAATGGATGCCACTGCGTAATACTTTTATAAAATGGATGCCACTGCGTAATACATTTATAAAATGGATGCCACTGCGTAATACACTTATAAAATGGATGCCACTGGGGAATACATTTATAAATTTAAACTAAACAAACCTCTTAAAACATGACAATTTGCCGACAACCCCTACTACTTAAATTCTAATTTATTTATAAATATTGGCTAAAACAGCTTTTGTTCAATAATCGCAAACCAATTACTGTATATACTGTTCTTGTTTTTATGCAATATAATCTGCAAGATGCATGCAGTATAACATCAAAAAATACTTTTATGAGTTTTAATCACAAAAACACAAAATTTCAACTATACGAGGGGTGTTCAAAAATTAAGGTGACTTTTCAAATTTTGCGGGCAAAGTACTTTGATTAAGGATTTTTTTGTTATGTCATGTTGGTACACTCTTCCCGAACATCTGTACCAAGTTTCAAGTGTATAGCATTTTTTGCTTGGTTGTGAGAGGTGTAAAGGTTATAAGTGTTTTGCATGCTCGGCGATTTTTAGCTATCGAAAAATTTGGATCAAAAGATTTGCATCAAATTTTGTGTAAAAAATAAAATAAAGTGCTCCAAAACACTTGAAATGTTGACAGTGGCATACGGTGAAACTGTTCTGAGTAAAAAAATATGTTTACAAGTGGTACAAACTCTTTCAAGATGGCCAGGAAGATGCCAATGACGAGCCTCGCTCTGGACACCCAACCACATCAACAACTGATGAAAACGTTCAAGCAGTGAAGAAAATTGTTTTGGAAAATCGTCAAATCACTATCAGAGAAGTTACTGATGATGTTGGTATATCGCTTGGCTCGTGCCATGAAATTTATGCTAACGTTTTGAGCATGGATGTGTGTCAGCAAGTTTGTTCCAAAATTGCTCAATTTTGACCAAATGAACCATCGCATGAGCATCGCTCAAGACCTGTTGAATGACCTCAAAAGGGTCATAACTGGTGACGAATCATGGATATATGGTTATGATATCGAAACCAAAGTTCAATTGTCCTAATGGAAGAGCCAGGTGAGCCAAGTTCGATCAAATGTCAAAGTTTTGCTCATTGTTTTCTTCGATTACCATGGCGTCGTGCATTAGGAGTTTTTACCAAAGGGTTTTACGGTCAATAAGTAGTATTATCTTGAAGTTATGCGCTATTTGCGAGAAGCAATACGAAGAAAAGGTCCAGAACTGTGGAAAAACAATTCATGGCTTTTGCATCAAGATAATGCCCCTGCTAACTCATCTTTATTTGTGAGAGATTTTTTAGCTAAAAACAACATCACAATCATGCCTTAGCCACCATATTCATCAGATTTGGCCCCATGTGACTTTTACTTTTTCCCAAAACTAAAGAGACCTATGAAAGGACGGAGATTTGCAACGATTGAAGAGATAAAGACTGCATCGCTGGAAGAGCTCAAGGCTATACCAAAAAGTGCTTATGAGAAGTGCTTTAAGGATTGGAAAAACCATTGGCATAAGTGTAGTGTATCTGAGGGGGATTACTTTGAAGGGGACAAAATAAATATTGATAAATAAATAAATATTTTATCTTTAAAATATAAAGTCACCTTAGTTTTTGAGCACACCTTGTACATTATTCACTATGGAAAACATAAAATTATTTTCTGTAAATGAAAAATCTTACCTGTAAAAAATCGGATTCTATCGTAAAAAAATTTTCTGCAGCGCCTAAGAATTCTAACTTGTTGTTGTTTTCTTTTTTTAACTGAACCATCGTAGATTCAAGTTTTTCAAGAAGAGATGAAGCACTACTGTTAGATTCATAAAGATTATCAGAATCATCAAATAAACTTTCATTCTTTTTATATGAATTCGGAAGTTGTTCAATTATTTTATCAAGCTCTGATTCTGTTGGAATGTCTGAATTTTTCAAACAGTCTTTAAAATTCAAGTTACCATATATAGAAGAAATATCTCCACATATAGAAGAATCAAAACTCTTTGAAGTTTGAGTGGAAAGAGCTTCTAAAAAAGAATGGGAGAAAAAATTTAAAAAGACTTGTTTTTATGTACTGCTTTAAAAAACAAAACACACAAAAGATAGACTAACCAAAACAAGATACACAATGTAGATAGAATAACCAAACAAGACCCACAATGTCAGTGGCAGATTAAGTGACTTCTTGGGGCCCAGGGCTATTTTTGTTTTTGGAGACCTTTTTATGGGCCAGAGCCTAAAAATGCCTAAAAAAAAAAAAAGGTCCTCTAAAATTTTTGGGGCCCCTAAAAATTCTGGGGCCCGGACTATAGCCCCCATAACCCCCCCCCCGCCCACCCCTAAATCTGGCACTGCACAATATAGATAAACTAACCAAAAAGTCAAATGAATGAAATAGGGCTAGCAACTAATAGTATGACTTTGAGTATGAGCTACTTTTAACTACTTTTGATTAAGTGATATATTTTTTGATGATACATAAGTTGTGAAATAAAATTAGGATTAAACCAAAAATATTTAAATCTTAACTTTTTTAAAAAAAGTTTCAAAACATTAAATTATAACTACCATTTTCTTCATCAAATTCATAACAATCATTGATCAATATTCCATTATTTGAAAAAAAGTGACTTTTCTGATAGTCATCTTGTATATTCCAGTCTAAATATATATTTATAACTTTTCATATCCCCAAAATGTGTTTATATATAATATATCTATATATAATATAACAAAGTAATACAGGAATTAATGAACTAGCAATAAAGTATATTTTTAGGGGGTTTTCGGATTTCACTTCTGGCCTTTGCATGCAACTCTTTACACGATTTTAAAATATCCTTAAAAAGAATCATCTGATTAAAATAAAATTTCTAAAACTTTAAACATTAAGCAAACAAACCTAATATAACTTTGTTTGCTTGTTTAATCATTTAAAAATTACAGAAATGGTATGATTATCAAAATTATTAAATTTATATTAAATAAATTAAATATATTATGCATTAAATTAAATATATTTATATAATATATACAAGAAAAGAGCTGTGTCCATATTAATATAGGAAGATCTAGATTATTGCAACAATGATTAGCTTGAAAAAAAGTTTTATCTGAGTTAAAGTTTACATGCCACTGAGAGCCCCATGCTGTAGTTCTGCTAAAGCATGGGGCTCTCGGTGATGGAGATCCTTTTTAAGCTCAAATGCCCTCTCCAAGCAATAAAAAAGTGCTGTCTTTTAATCAAGACAAGAATAAATGGTAATATCATTAGCAAACAATGCCATTTTAGATGTGAGAATTTCTGGGAGAAATAGCAAAATAATTTAATAAAATTTACTTGACCTAAAAGTAAATATTTATTATTTTATCTAAAAATGAAACAGAAACTATTAATTCGTTTAAATGACTTTGTTTAAATCAAACAATATAAAATTGATTTCAAAATGTTTATAGCATATTTTATTTTTATTAAAGAAATAGATTTTTAAACAATGATCTATTTGTCAAAAAATAAATAAAAAATGCAGAAGCTTAAATTACAGTAAACTTGACTAAATGACAGGATAATGAACTTTGGATAAATAAAATTAATGTTATAAAGCAATATAAAACAAAATGAAAGAGTACTAAATGAAAACACATAAAAGAACAGTTTGTGGATTTAAACCTAGTTTCCTGACAATTGGATGAATTTTTACAAAAGTCATGCCCAGGCCAAGCATGTGACTATTAGAATCCTTACGAACTAAAGGAAGATATAAATATATATAAAAATATATATAATACATATATATATATATATATATATATATATATATATATATATATATATATAATACATATATATATATATATATATATATATATATATATATATATATATATATATATATATATATATATATATATATATATATATATATATATATATATATATATATATATATATATACAGGCCTTGTGATGAATAAAAACTGCGCAACGCATAAGCACAACGTGATTTTTGACGTCATTAAATTCTTTTTATTTGCTTTTCATATTTATCGACATTAACTGCACCAATTTACTTAATTACCGCAAAACTACTTTAAATTATTTATGTAGAAATGTTATTATTTAAAAATGTTTTGGAATGTTTCGTTTTTTACAATGTAAAAAAATGTGTTTATTTTCTCGACGTTTGACACGTTTTGTCTATACTAAACGAATAAAAAACATTATAACTAAATATTTAAAAAAGATTATAAAATATGCTAATATTTAATTTTTTTTTATCAAATATGTAATTTAAAGTTTTTCAAATAATTATTTTTTCTTTCTAAAAAGTCAGCGAGTAATAAACTAAAAAATTTAATATTGTACAATTTAAAAATGTGCAATAGCTAATATTTTTACTAGCAATTTGATATAATATTTTTTTATTTATTTATTTTTATTTATTTTCATAAAGCGGTTGATAAGCACAATCACTCGTATTGCTAAAAAACTTTAACAAACGTTTTGAATAGATTTTTAATGTTTACAAAGAATTTTATTTTTGGTAAAATAAAATAAAAGAAAATGTTAGAATAAAAATCTTATAGGTATAAAAGACATATTTCAGCGAAAAAATTATTCTTAAAAATTATTATTATAAATTATTCGAAAAACTATTGACATTCCATTTTTCAGCAGCTGTTCTTGAGCACGCTTCGTTGAGTTTCGGTAACTTCTAACAAAAAAGCAATTGTTATTATTTAAGTAATTTTTTTTTAGAGTTACTTTTTACAAAAATTTTAATAGCTGTACTTTTTTATTGAATCAAGTAGAATACGTTTTAATATTAATCCTTTAATTTTTTTTTTTTGCACTTACCAATTTTTAAAATATTTTCTCATATTACTCTTAAATACTTTAAATACGTCTAACAGTTAATAAATATTTTTAAATCTATGGAATAATTTTAAAAGCTAACAAACCCCCGTAAAATGATTGTTTAAGTTAAAAATCTAAAACTAAAAGAAAGTATTTTTGTTCTATTTTATCGACAACTTTGTATAATAATTTTATTAAAATGTTAGCTTAAAAAGATTTTTTTTCAGATAAAATTCAGATAAATTTTTTTTTTTTTTAATCTTAATTTTTTCTACTTGTAAATAATGAGCATATTTAATTTTTCTTTAATTCAAACTTTTGTATCAACAGCGTGCGGTTTTTAAAATACTTTATTAAATGTTAAAATAATCGTAAATTACTTCATTAAAATTCCGCTCAAAAATATTTTTAAATATACTCAAACAAAAATTTTTTTGCTCGACACAAATAGCCCTAGCTACACGCAAAATCGCTCTTGGACGACGTAAAATTCACATTGCCCAACGCTTTATCGCAAGGCCTGTATATATATATATATATATGTGTGTGTATATATGTATATATATGTGTATATATATGTGTATATATATATACATATATATGTGTGTATATATATATATACATATATATATATATATATATATATATATATATATATATATATATATATATATATATATATATATATATGTATTATATATATATATATATATATATATATATATATATATATATATATATATATATATATATATATATATATATATATATATATATATATATATATATATATATATATATGTATATATATATATGTGTGTATATATATATATATATATATATATATATATATATATATATATATATATATATATATATATATATATATATATATATATATATATATATACAGTAGCTTTCATAAATTTAGACGCATTCATTTTTTTTTTCATATATGTAAGAAAATACTCAAAATAAAAATGAAATAAAAGTGCTACCGCTATGTTTGATATATAGTTTAAAAGAGGAAATAAAACTCTATTATAGAGTACCTTAATTTTTTTTACAGGATGTTTATTACTCATTTTATACCGATTAACACAAAAAAGTTAATTGATAAACTTGATTTTATTTTGTTCATAAATTTAGACGCACAATTAAAAAAGTCTTATATCTTGTTAATTGATAGTTAATTAGTAGTTTTTTTCTTATATTTCTCATTAATAGGCCTAAATTAATTGATTTTGTCAAAAAACCTTAAATAAATATGACTTAACTGGAATTATTTAATCATTATTTAATAAATAAACAAAAATTAAGTTAGTTTTGCACTAAAAAAACGTAAAAAATGGGCAAAAGACGTATCACTCAAGGTGAAAGATGGCAAATTATTGCGCACATCAAAGAAGGAACCAAAAGTAATAGAGAAATCGCCAAGTTAATTGGAGTTTGAGAAATGCGTTCGGACAACGAAAGTTAATTGGAGTCTGAGAAATGCGTTCGGACAACGAAACAAAACTTTCTTCACACTGGTGGTGCCAGCGAGAAAACGAGGCCAGGTAGACCGTTGTCAACCACGAGAAAGGACGATAGTGTTCTTTTTAGAGCTGTCAGAGCTAATCCAAGAATTAGTTACAAAGAATTGACCACATAATTCAATACAACGCGAAATACATCTATTTCTCAAAGCACAGTCAGCCGAATACTTATCAAATACAAGATTGGAGTCTACACTGCTTTGAAGAAACCGCTTCTGCGTCCATATGATAAACAAAGGAGACTAAAATGGTGTCGTGAAAGAAGGTATTGGACAATAGAACAATGGAAAAACATTATGTGGAGTGATGAGAGTAACTTTGAGCTTATCAATCGCAAATCTAACATAACAGTCAAAAGAATGGCTCACGAAAAGTATTACGCCAGGTACATTAGACCAACTGTACAAAGTGGAGGAGGCTCGATAGGAATCTGGTCATGCTTCAATTACAAAGGTGTTGGTATGTGCCAAACATACACCGGAAGAATCAACTCCAGAATATACGTAGAAGTACTGGAAAACAACCTAATTCCATCAATTGACCTGCTTATGCTCAATGATAAACCATGGAAACTTCAACAACATAGCGCTACTGCACATACTGCATACTATACAAAGGAGTGGTTCAACGATAATAATATTATGACAATACCGTGGCCTCCATATTCACCTGATTTGAACCCGATTGAAAACATTTGGGCTTGGATTGATCATGAATTAGCAAAGGTTCAAATTTCCACACTTGGTCAGCTGAAGGAACTCCTTAAGGAGACCTGGTATGGGGTCCCAGAAGCGATGTATAAAAATCTTGTTGAGTCTATGCCTAGAAGAGTTCTTAGTTGTATTAAAGCAAAAGGCGGATACACAAAATATTGATTAGTTCATAAATTACACCTTCTAATGTATCGTGCGTCTAAATTTATGAATAATTTTTTTTGTACTGTATATATATATATATATATGTATATATATATATATATATATATATATATATATATATATATATATATATATATATATATATATATATATATATATATATATATATATATAAGGGTTGTATATATATATATATATATATATATATATATATATATATATATATATATATATATATATATAAACATATATATATATATATATATATATATATATATATATATATCAGGCCTTGTTTTAAATAAAAAAGTGCTTAATGCATTAGCCTAACGCGATTTTGACATCATAAAATTATCTTTATTTTTTTTTATAGACGTTAAGTGTTTTAACTACCGCAATAAATAAATAACCGCAAACTAGTTCAATTTAACAATTAACTCAAATATAAACTATAAACGTTTTAAATATAAATTTATTATGAAAATTTTGTAATGTTTTCAATTGTTATTTTATTATTAATTTTAGTTCAATATTATTTAGTAAAATATATATATATATATATATATTAATTATTTCTGAAATTCGTTTTTGAATAATTGTTTTTAATCGTTATTGAATAAAAAATAATAATGATTTTTTTTATTTTTAAAAATTTCTAGAGTAAACAAAAAATATTAACATTGATAAACGCAAACCCATGTTAATTATTTAAACAACGATTTTGTTTTGACTAGCAAAGAAAAATTTAAGTTTTTAAATATTTTTAAAATTTTTAAAAGCGTTTCAAACTTGCGTTTTATAAAAATATAAAAAAGTTTTGCCTGCTTTGTGCATATTTTTGATACGTAGTTTAGAACGTGTTCGCTTGGAATTTAATTCATAAAGTTTTTATGTTATTGTAAAAATATTTAACTTTTTAAACAAATCACAAAGAAACAGAGCTATAGAGAAAAATCGTTTTCGACGATTAAATCTTTTTTTTTTTAATTTTAGGAAATTAAAAAAAAAATTAAATTAAATATAAAAGTCTTAACTATGCAAACTCTTTTGTTAATTATTCTTAAAACAAAAAAACAAATACTTCTACGCCAAACTTTAATCGTGCAAACTTAAAAAAATACTCATCTGAAATAATTTAAGTATATTTAATAATTTGAATCGTATCTGTTTATAATAAACGTTCGTAAAAATTTGTTTATTAAAAATTAAGTTCCTTAACTTATAAACAAACTCAAAAGTATTTTCATTCTACGTATAATTACAAAACTCTTTCTTTTTTCGTTTGTAAGCAATTTAACTTAATAAAATAAAAAAAAGAATAAATATGAGGTAATCTTTGTTAAGAATAAATTTAATTTATTTATTGAACTATATTTTTATTTTTAATTAAATATCAACTTAATTACAATATAGTAACATGTTAAAATATTTTAACATGACTTGTATTATTTATAAACCGTTGGGCAGTTGCCCTTATGGCACTATTGTTTTTGGATAATATTTTATTTTGATGAAGATCACATAACTTACATTTGATTTTAATAATGTAAGTCTTCTCTTTTTCTGTGATCATCGCATCGGCAAAGCATCTGCAAAGTCCCAAGATTTAAAAGTTTTTAAAGTAAATCTTTTGTCCTTCAAAATACAATCCATATTCGAACTTTAAACAATTTAGAGATAATAGAAATATAGAAGGTTTTTATATACTAGTTTGTTTTGTTTTATAAAGAAAAATACATATTCATTAGTAAAAAATGGAGACTGTCATTAAACTAAAACGTGCTTTAGTATTTATTTAACGGAACCTGAAATGTGCGCGTGCATAATAAAACCTCCGTTATATAAATATATTCAACGTAATATTAGTGTCATCAGCAGATGTTGTAGTCTACTCATGATTTCTTTACCTTATATTATAAATTGATTTATGAAAAAAAAAACTTATTGAATCGCACGCAGAAGAATTTTAACAAATTGTCTTTATTCAAATATTGCGAGTAACAGGTAATTTTTTTTCTGTGCCGACCCCCTCCCCCCGCATAACTTAAATTATATACTAATAAACTAATAAGAAAAGCTATATACTATTTAACTAACTATAAGCTATATACTATTAAACTAATAAGAAAAGCAAAGACATTTTTTTTAACATCTCGAAAAAATGTCTTGATATTTTTGTTATCATGATAACAAAAATATTAAGACATTTTTTGAGATTTTATTAAAAAAAAATGTCAATTCTTAATTACAAATTTTTTTGCAAATGTTTTTTATTACAAATTCAGTAAAAAATTCATAAAAAATCTATATTACAAAAAACTTTTATATTCTGTATTAATAAATATGGAATATAGATTTTTTAAAAGTTTTTTACTAAAAACTTTAAAAAATTACTACTTTTTATTAAAAACATTGCAAAAAATTTGTAGTTAAAGATTGACAAACAATTTTTCATGTTGCTAAATATTTGGATAAAAAGTTTAGCGTCAAATTAATTGCTATAAAAAGGAAAGATATATCGCAATGAAAAGTTACAATAATTATTAGTAAGTAAATTCTTTTTTTTAATAAATACCTTTACATAACGTTATTTAAAAGTTAATGTGGTTTTTTTGAAAATTAATTACTTCTTTTATGTTACCGCTAATTTAAAAGTTAAAAAATGATAAAAAGTAGCTTAACCAAAACAGCTCTACGCGTACGTAAAAAGCGCTCAAGGCGTACGTAAATCGCTCTAGGCGTAACGCTTTAAAACAAGGCCTGCATATATATATATATATATATATATATATATATATATATATATATATATATATATATATATATATATATATATATATATATATATATATATATATATATATATATATATATATATATATCACCCTTGGCATTCGGCAATACCAACCTGATAGTGTTTGAGGTTGGCAAAAAATTGCTGACCTCATTTCTATGTTTTATGGTCAGACCTTTGTATCAAAAATATTTGATAAAAATTATTTGATACAATGCCAACCTGATGCCGACCTCAAAAAGATTGAGGTCAGCAAATTATTCCCGACCTCATTTTTTTCCTCAATATTTTTGAGGTAGGCATCAGGTCGGCAAAAATTATTTGATACAATAGTCTGACCATATGCCGACCTAAAACCATAAACAAATGTAAAAAAGTAAGCTATAAACTAAATTTTTATCTTTTAAATTTGAAAGCGTTTAGCTTAATATACTTGAATATTGATCAAATTTATTTTTTCTAATTTGGAAAAATTAAATTTAATATTTGAAATTGATTACACAACAAAGTTATTTATTTTCAACGTAATTAAAAAACAATTTTTTTAGTGCTTTTTTTGAAAACAATGGTTAATTCATCAAAACAAAATATTATTTGCGTGGTCATATAAAAACTTAAAATTGCACGCTTTTCTGGCCAGCCTGTATATATATATATATATATATATATATATATATATATTGCATTAGATTTAATCATACAACTATTTTTTCATACAACTCGAGATTAAACAAAAGCTTTTCCAGACCAGTGTTATTTCTATATGCTATGAAATATACAAAGAAAATAAATACAAAACAAAAAACCCAACTATGATTCATGGCGACACACTCTCTTTTACATTAGTTAACTAAACTATTATCAATTTTATATTAAATTCATTATAAAAACTATTAAAATTATTTTTACCTGGCTCTTCATTGAATTTATAACAACTATCAACAAGTATCCCACTATCCTTATTTGTATTAAAATTATATTCTTTAGTTTCTTCTGGTGTTTTAATGTCTAAATATGTAATAATAAATAAAATATATGTGAATATATATATATATATATATATATATATATATATATATATATATATATATATATGTATATATATATATATATATGTATATATATATATATATATGTATATATATATATATACGTATATATATATATACATATACATATATATATATATATATATATATATATATATATATATATATATATATTTATTTATATTTATGTTTTTCGTCTCGTACGACCACGAAAACGTTTTTCAAGTTACAGAACATGATCATGGCCGTTTGCGCAAGTTATATTATATACGTTGCTAAAAAATTGTTTTAAATTTAATAACTACATAAGAAATTAAAGTAAACTTAAATAGAAAACAATAATAATAGTTTAAATAATTTATATGTTGTTTTTATTTTTGTTTTTTCTTAGTGGTTATTATTATCGGCAAAAAAAAAACAAAATTCATTAAGTAAAAGCAAAAAAAAACATTTTTATGTGTTTATAAAAATATTTATGTGTTTTTTCTTTTAAAGAAAATATGTATCGTCATCTGTTTGTAAAATATATTTGTATAAATATAATGTAACAAGTTTATATCAAGAGTTAAATTATACGATCGCGATTTGCAAACTCTGGTAAAATATTAGGTTTTCAAAATTTTAGTTCATGCAAAACTGTGTACTTTGTTTATAAGGAGCAAATTATTAAAAGTTTGCTAGCGAGAAAGTTACAAAAAACAAAAAAAAAACAATAAACTTATGACTACAAAAGTAATAATACTTTAGTCACTAACTGCATTATAAAAGTAATAAAACTATAATAGTGTTATTACATTTATAAAGCACTTATTACTTCTAAAATTCATTTTTTGTTCGAACAACATTATTAATTCCAAACATTTATTAAAGTAGAAAAGCATCTAGAAAAAATAAAGCGGATATTCAAAAATTATTAAAATTTTAGGAACTTTCACATAACAATGTAATAAAAAAGTACTTTATAAAAAGTATGTAATAAAATGTAATATGTAATAAAATATATAATAATGTATAAAAAATATATAAAAATATATAAAAAAATATAAAAAAATATATAAAAAAATATGTAATAAAAAAGTACTTTAAAAAAAGTATAGCATTATGAAAAACGTTATGTAAAAACTCACACTAATTTTAAAATCAACCAATAAAAATTTTTTATTGGTTAATTTTAAAACTAATGCACGTTTTTACAGTCTATTAGTAATGTTTTTCATAATGCTAAACTTTTAATACGATACGTTTTCATAATGTTGTTTGTCACGTTTTTATAAGTTACTTTAGTTTTAATATTATTTAAACATCCACTTTATTCTTCTAGATATTTTTTTACTTCAATTAAAATTTGAGAATACTAATTTTTCTTGAACGAAGGATGAATTTTAAAAGTTATAAGTGCCTTATAAAAGTAATAACACTGTTATAGTGTTATTACTTTTGTAATGCAGTTAATGACTAGAGTGTTATTACTTTTGTAATGGTAAGTTTATTGTTTTATTTTTTATTTTTTCGCTAACAAATTTAACCCTTTTCTGCATACTGTATCATATATGATACAGTTTATAAATTGTGTATCTCTAGTCGAACGCTCAGGAATTTTAAATTTGAATTAAGTTTATTTAAAGCGTGCAATATTTAAGTGAGTGTGGCCACTGTACTTAAAATGTTTTTTGCAAATTTTACTTTCAATTTTATTTCTCATATTATCAAAATGGCATCCGGCAGCAAATCAACTAACTATTGTTAGTACATCATTTTGTTGAGAAAGATTCCTTTCAATCATAAACCCACAAAAATTCCCAAAGTTTCTTATACCTATTGGTAGTCCTCTTGTATTTTTATTTACCTATTTTCTTAAACTTTCATTCCTCAGCAACTCTTTTTGTAAGTGTATCAGATATGATACATCGAGCATCTAAAGCAAAAAATTTTAATTTCATATTTTTGATTTATTGTTAATTCTTTTGTTATAAAACGTTTTTATTATTTCTTCTAATCTTTAGCAATCAAGATAACTTCTTTCTATGGTAGAAAGCCTTTTGGTATCCACAGGATACAAGCGCCTGTCTTGATCAAATTTCCTGATGACGACACAGATCTATGCTCCTCAGGTGGAGATTCCAGCAATGAAGAAAATATAACTGATTGCGAACTATTTTTGCCAATACCTTCTTTGTCCAGTGAGGAAGTTGATAGCAGTGATGAGAATGCTGACAGCAATGACAATCAGTTACTTTCAATATTAGGAAGAGCAAATGGCAGAGCAGGTAAAAAAGAAGGTGCAACAGTGGTGCAAGCTACCAATAAACCAAATGCAAATGGAAAAAAGCCTGCAAAAAAATCTCAGCTATTGTGGAAAGTTAAAAGTCTTCCAAATTAACAAGAAGACCACAAATTTAAAGGTAACTACCAACAAAAAATGGACGAGTTATTGGATTGTCTTGGTTCAGAACTGTCATGCTTTTATCGGATTTTTCCAAAAGAGCTTTTTCAAGAAATTGCTTATCAGACAACGTTGTATTCCATTCAAACCAATCCTGAAAAACCAGTTGCTGTAAAAGAGGAAAATATAATTAGTTTTGTTGCATGTGTTTTGTATATGTCTGTTGTCAAACACCCAAGCACAAGAGATTATTGGTTGCCTCCCATTGGAATTGCTCATGTAGCTAATATTATGCCCGTCAACCGCTTTGAAAAATTAAAAAGTATTATTCATTTTGCTGACAACAACTCTGCTGACAAAGACGATAAGTTTTTCAAGATACGCCCTCTCATAAACAAAATGAATGAACAGCTGAACAGTATTCCATTTGAAGAAAATTTGGCGGTTGATGAGCAGATTATTCCGTTCAAAGGGAGACATTTAATCAAACAATACAACCCTAAAAAACCACACAAATGGGGGTTTAAAGCTTTGAGAATGAACCAGACCTTGGGGCAAGTAGTAACGTTGTCATGCGCCTAGACCGAATCCTGCCCGATGACACTAATCATAAATTGTATGTTGACAATTGCTTTAATAGCATTGGTTTAAATGTTTATATGTACAAGAGGGGAATTCAAATGGTTGGAACTGCATGTAGGAACCGTGTTGGAAAATGCCTAGTCTTGTCAGATAAGGAAATGAAGCAAAGGGGTCGCGGAGCATTTACAGAACATGTTGCCAAGGTTGACAGAGTTGATGTATCGGTAGTTTCCTGGTTTGACAACAAAGTTGTAACTTTGATGTCCAATTTTATTGGAAGTGAACCTTCAATTGAGGTTAGAAGATTTTCAAGAAAAGATATGTGTCATATCAACATTTCCTGTCCGGGAGTAGTCACTATCTACAACAAGCTCATGGGGGGAGTCGACTTGCTTGATTCTCTACTTGGCTATTACAGGAACAAGATTCAGTCAAAAAAGGGGTATCACAGGATCTTTTTCCACTTGATTAATATATGCATATTTGTAGAACATATATTGCAACAACTTGGTGGTAATAAAAAAATTATTTTATAATTTTAAGTATCATAGTCACTTATTGTCAGTTAGATAGTCAGTTAAATCACTTTGACATCTTAAGCAATAGCTATGTCTCATTACTTTATAATAGTTGCTGCTAACATTATTGCATGTTTACATCATGTAGACATGCTAGAACTGACTAGAAAAAAATTGATAAAAACTATGAACTTACCTTTGTTTAAAACTGGATGAAACACTAACTCTTCATATACATCGCCACATTCATTTTCACTCTATTAGAAAAATTTAAATTTTATTTAATAAAGAATTATGGAAAAAAAAAACACAGAAGACACTAAAATAAAAAAAACTTGTTTTTTTGCTTCTTTATGAACTGCTCACATATTTTTTTTTTTTTTTTTAAATTTATTTAGCAATTTAATGCTTTTTAATAACTTTTACAAATTAAAAGTTTCTAATTACAAAATAAATGTTCGCTATATAAGTTGATAATTCTTTAGTGTTTAAAGCAGTTTTTTTTCTGAATTTTTTGTATTCCAGTTGAACAAATCCACTAACTACTTCTTGGTATAGTTTCAAACTAAACAATAACAATGACTTCTGCCCAGCTAACAATGACTTCTGCAGCAGCTGAATTTAAGAAAATAACTAGTTTGTCTAGTGTAATGTTCATGTGATTCGCTATTTTTTGAATGGAACGGTATAAATATATTATTTTTCAGTAAATGTAAAATTGTGAGTGATTTAAAAATAATTCTATTTTTTACACTGATCCAACCAAGCAAATTTAACATTTCTGTTTTGTGAGTTGACTAGTCACACTTTTATATAATCCTCATTGCATTTTTTTTGAAGATTTCATGGAGATTCAAGTTATTAGTGTTGACATCAAGAAAAATAGAAGCACAATATTTATAGTGGGGAGCAATTATAGTTTGAAAAATTATCTTTTTGGACCATTGAGTTGAATTTTTGCTTATTCTACCAAGATATCCTTTTTTCTTTGCAATTTTATTTGAGATATATTCTGTAAAATTATTGCTTTTAATAAATTGCATAGTAACATATGTTTATTTTAACAACAAATAATTTAAATGTTAATAAAGATTTGGATTATAACCTTAAATTCTCATCCATCAATAGTAGCTCCTGTCAAATAATTAATCATCGCGTCATAATCAAATTCCATTAAAAAACCATTTTTTTTTTAAACGCAATTTAAAACTATATTTAAAACTAATTTAAATAGTAAATAATACTTTGGTAATCTTTTATAACTGGCTTTTAATTAAATTGAAGCAAAAACATTGAAACATAAAGTAAAAATTCAATAAATCTAAATATATACCTCTGAATCTGAATTTAAAAAAGTTGGAATAATAACTGAAGAAACAGCAGCAGATGATTGAGCTCCAAGCTTTTCAATGCTCATATTTTTTGCCAGAACAAATTCATACCAAATAATTTTAACATTTTAACTACCGTAATGGTAATGAAATTTTTTTTTAACGCCACTATACTCTAAATAATAATTTTTATATTAAAAAAATAATAATAATATTAATTATTATTGTTATTACTGTTATTATTTATACAAATACTACTAGTAGTATTGTTATTTTACTATTATATTAATTATATTTTATTATTTTTATCATTTTTGTTATTGTTGTTGTTATGATCATTGTTATCAATGTTGTTATTGTTATTGTTATTATTATGTTAACAGTAATAATATGAATATTAAAGATTTACCAATACCAATTATAATAACGAATTCAAAAACTAAATGAATACCAAAAAGGTTTTAAATGAATTCATTGTAATAAATTTTATAATCATTCAAAACTTTTAAAACAGAGTCTGCTTTTAAATAGAGACTATTATACACTTATACTGTTTAAATAGAATATTTTTTAAACAAATAGTGTACTATTTAAATTTATTAATACTATTTATACGAGTATAACTAATAAAATTAGTAATACTATTTAAACAATGAGTCTATAAGAGTCTCTATTTAAAAGTAACTTATTTTTAAAAATAAACCGATTATTTACAAATAATTTGTTTTTAAATTGTTTACAAGTAATTTATTATATAAATATGAATAATTACTAAACTTTTTATTATAAAATAGATTCAAAATTTTTTACATGAGTCTTATGTGCTTAAAACCATTCATTTACTTTGATTATGTTGTTTATTAAATTTTGTACATTATGTAAATTTCCGCAATATACAAAACTTCATCCAAAGTTTGATATTAAGTTTTACATTACTTTCAAAGTTATTTTTTAATGTTATTTATAAACGTCAAATGTCAAACTTTTTATGATCTTTGTAAAATAACAATAAAAAAAAATGTAAAAAGATAATAGTAACTAATGCAATAACAAAACAATATTTGAAAAAAATATATTATATTAGATAAAAGAACACAAATTAGTTAGATTGTTCTCAACTTCAAAAGAAACCATTCTAATGAATAATTTGTCGTAGTGATTAAAGTGCTGCACTTAATATACAATGTTCTCGTACTTAACCATAAAAGCGTCACCGTTAAGGAAATAATTACATAAACAGCATTTTAGGTGGTTACCATTGTTCAGTCTTGTTAGAAAAACCGGCGCGGAGAGGGTGTGAAGGAGATGTGATACCCACCTTAATTAAATGACCATTACATATACTATTATTCGGCAAAATTGTACCTCGATCGTCGAATTAGAACCTTTTATGGTCGGCATGAAATGTTTTGGTTGGCATGGCACTTAATATCACTATTCAAAATTTGAGGTCCTTTTTTTATTGAATTCGGTAAAACACGTAAAGACCCCTCCCCCACTTGACACCTACTCGTAACAGTCTTGGTTGCCAGGCCAGACGCTTGGATGGTGTTTGTATAGGTTATACATATTAATTTATATAATAATATATACATAATCTTTTGCATTATTTGATTTCAGCAATTTTTAAAATAATTCAAACCATTTTGACTGTATTCTTTGAACTTATTTAAACTACTTATTTAAAGATAATTACTTATTTAAAGATCTAATGTCATGAAGTACTCTTCATGTCACCTTGATGTCATGAAGAGTACTTCATGACATCTTCCATGTCATGAAGTACTCTTCATGACATCATGTAGACATAAGTGTTGAAGTAATTATAAAGGTTAGGAAATAAGTAAAGCATAATTATATTTTGTTAAGCACTAATCCTATTGCTTTACATCGGAACCAGGTTCGCAGTATTTTAACTGAGATAAGTTAACTTCAAGTTTTATTTATTTATTTATTTATTTGATTTAGTTTTCCCAAAATAACTTTAGGGCAATGTCACAGAGCACCGCGGAAGAGCGTTTATCTAAAAAGTTTACGCCTTTTACCTTACCGATGGCGCGAAATATGTCCAGAGCTCGCTTCGAACCCTGAATCTCTAGTGCCATTGTTTAGGAATTGTATAGGCCGTCACCCAAAATAAAACCAAATTGCAAAGTCGGCAAAATCATACTCGCAATACAATAAATTATTTAAATAGGTTAGTAAACCCGGCCCGAGTGATGAAAAGCATGATGGTTGTAGATCTTGAGAAACTTAACACGTTACAAATATTAATTTTTATGTATAAATATAAAAACAAAAATGTTTTTTCAGAAAATTTCTTCATATTAAATCTGCGTTCAAATACTAGGTACAACTCTCACCTATGGAAAATTAAATCACAGCTGTCAAGTTTTCCAATTACAAACCGTGGTCCATTAATATAAAATCATTTCCAAAATAAAAATATTAAAGACCTAAAAAGCATTTCATTGCTTAAACTAGGGGGTATATAGGTCTTAGGTCTTAGGGGTTATTTAGGTCACTTAGGTCCATAATCATCTTTTTTTCAATTTTTTATAGTTTAACCAATTTTTCTTAATTAATTTTTCATCCTGATTCTGGAAACCATAATCATTTTTTTTTTCATTTTAATTATTTAGCCTTCTACTTCGATTTTAATAAAAGTGAATATATTGACAAAAAAAGGTATTGTTAAAAATAGATGAAATAATTATTATCATTAAATAAAAGTAGAAAAATATAAATCTTTTTCTGTTTAATTTATCAATAATATACCTTATGTTTTATAAGTAACAAAAAAAGTTAAGCATTATATATTAAAATAATTCATACAGTTTGTTATTTACTCTTAAAAATGGAAAATAACAAGTAAAGTCATCATATGTGATGCTACGGAAACTTTCCATGTAGAACATCTAGGTTAAGAGCGTGTTCTTTGGTAGACATAAGATGGAGGTTTGTATTTTTATATCAACAATTATGTATTTAAACAGAAAAAGAACCCCGCGACAATGACCTACATTGTATCCCTAAAGTAAAGAACCATTTTTCGAACTTTTTTTTCATTTTGACATTTCTTTATCAACTTCCATAATGTCTAGTTCACAGTTAAATGGGCTGCCTTGTAACTTTAATCAAACTAAAATAGAACTCATCTTGTACACCTAATGTAAGGTTTGCTGCTCTTCCATTGTTATCCATTTGTTTTTGTAGCTGGTTTTAACTAAACTCTATAGTTTCAACTTTTTGGACAAATAAATGCACAATAACTTTTCAAAATATTTTTAAACTACGCAAACCTTTATTTTTTGTATGATTTAAATACATCTACTGTTTCCAAAATATTTTTAAACTACGCAAACCTTTATTTTTTGTATGTTTAAATACATCTACTAAATACATCAAGTATACATCTACTGTTGAAATTAAATGGGTTTTTTCCAAAGCATTTCAACAGCAACAACTTAATTAGAAAGTTAATACAAATCATATTCCATTATCAACCAAACACATAATACTTTTCTCTTTTTTGAAGTCCTGAGGCGAACTTTTGCCAAATACTCTAGCAAGAATAATACAATCATTCAACCTCTTTGAGGTATACTTATTAACTGCTTCTAGAATTTTTTTTTAACTAGCTATTCACTGCGTTTTAGAGTAAAGCAGAAAATTTCAAAATTTGATCACCCAGTTTGTTTTTTATCCAGCCTTTTAGCTAGCCGTTATCCTTTAGCCAGTTTATCTTTAGAGTTGTTAAACCTTTAGAATTTAACTGAATTTCTACTGAATGGCACTTTAAAAGAAGATTTATTCTTGAATTCATTAAAGAAAAGTGAAAAAAAAAATGAAATCTTGAATAGCCTTCTTGATAGCTTGAATAACGATTAAAAATAAATAAAAAGGAAAAAGGTATTTTGAAGAAACCTGTCTTTTTGATTACTTAAAACGTTTTGTTTAGAAAGAGACTTCAAATAAAACTTTTTTTTTAAGCAATCTGTCGTTTTACTTATTTAAAACGATTTTTTTTAAAAAAAAAAAGACTTTAGATAAAATGTTTTTTTTTTAAAAACGCTACGATTAAAAATCATCAAAATTTGAATAGGATAAATTTGAAAGAAAAGTTGCGTAACTTTATACGCAAATAAACTTTTTATTTAAAATTTATTTATTTACACTTTTGCCGATAAAAAGGAAATTTACAGTCGTAACTTATAAAAAAAAAAATTACCGGGTCAAATAATGACCGGGGCTAGAAGAAGACAAATTTAGTCTTATCATTAAGCCCCACAAACTTTTGCTAAGACTTATTTTTATATCTTTAAATTTTTAAAATAGAAGTAGAAGGTCAAACATAAAAAATTAGCAAAAACTAAACTGTTTTTTGGAACTTTTCTCAAAAAGTTAATTAAGAATAACTGGTTAAACAAAAAATATAGAATTTTGGACCCCCCCCCCCCCTACTAAAACGACTAACTAAAATGCATCTCCTTAATTCCTGACATATTTTATTGTTTTCAGATTTTAATTATTTATTTTTTTCCTTATTTTTATGTTTCTTCTTGTTTGTTTTTATATTTTTTTAGTTTCATTTTTTAAAATAAAAAAAATATGAGCTTTGTTTTAATGAATTTTTATTTTACTTTAAAAATCAAAGTGTTTTTTTAATAAGTTGACTAAAGCGGCTCTATGAAAAGGTTGTGACGATAAACGCATCATCCTTACCTTCTCTGAGTCCCTGAATATATAACAGTATACATATTTATTTTAGGCCAGGATTGAAAAGTTTAATTTTTCAAAAGGAATGACCTTTGTAAAGCTAAATTGGAAACTCAAAAAATAAAATAAAAAGTTTAGAAACGGGCAAAAATACCTTACATACTACCTGTAAATATCTATTTAATTTTGAGAAAAGACTTTGTTCGCAGAATTCTAAATTTTTAGTTATAGGCATTTAAAATTTGTGTCACAGAAGGAACGATAGGTTTCTTTCGTGATTTCAACGGCTATAACAAAAAATTTAATATTCCACATGCAATATCTTTACCTAAAATTAAATCCCAGTGGGAAAAAAGACGTCAAAAAGACGTCTTTAAAAGTCTTATTTACGATGTCTTTAGGACGTCTTTTTTTAATCGATTGTGCAAATCTAAATGACAACTTTTTTCGACATTGAAAAAGATGT